AGAGCTTGGAGAAAAGTGTATCCTTTGGCCCTGGGGGAGTCCCTGTGCTGAGAACTTCCTAGACTGAGGGGAAGATTGAGTCCAAGACACATGTAGATCTCCAAGGTATGCTGGCTCCACAGATGTTGGAGAAAATAAGGACCTTTCTCAAGGGTCAACACAGAGAGAAAGCCTTCTCCTAGAGCTGGCACCCTGAATTTGGACTTCTAACCTCCTAAACTGTGACAGAATAAATTTCTGGTTGTTAAAGCCATCCACTTGTGGCATTTCTGTTATAACAGCACTGTTGTTGTTGTTGTTGTTATGTGCCGTCGAGTCGGCCCCGACTCATAGCGACCCCTCCTTGGGTTTCCGAGGCAGTTATCACTACGGAAGTAGGATTGCCCAACCTTCCTTCCGAGGAGTGGCTGGGGGGTTTGAACCACCAGCCGTCTGGTTAGCAGGCAAGTGTCTTAACCACTATGCTACCAGAGCTCCCTATAACAGCACTAGATAACTAAAATACCATTCTTTGTAATGTTATACATAATTTACTGTGATCCACACAGTTGAATGCCTTTGCATAGTCAATAACCAAAAAAGAAAAAAAAAAACTACCAGAAAACCAAACTCACTGCCATCAAGTTGATTCCAATTTATAGTGACCCCCATTGGGTTTCCAAGGCTGTAAATCTTTACTCCATGGAGTGGCTAGTGGGTTCAAATTACTGATCTTTTGGTTAGCAGCCTAATGCCTTAACCCCTATACCACTAGAATGCCTTATAATCAATAAAGCACAGGTAAATATATTTTTCTGGTATTCTCTACTTTCAGCCAAAATATACCTGTCAGTAGCAATGATATCCCTTATTCCACAACATCTTCTGAACCCAGCTTGAAATTCTGTAAGTTTTCTGCTAATGTACAGCTGCAGCTATTTTTGAATTATCTTCAGCAAAATTTTACAAGTATGTAATATTAATAATATTGTTCGATACTTTCCACATTCCATTTGATCACCTTTCTTTGGAAATGGGCATGAATATGGATCTTTTCCAGTAGGTTGGCCAAGTAGCTATCTTCCAAATTTCTTGGCAAGGATAAGTAAGCACTTCCAGCATTGTATCTGTTTGTTGAAGTATTTCAGTTGGTATTTCATCAATTCTTAGAGTCTTGGTTTTCACCAAAGCCCCCAGTGTGGCTTAAAATTCTTCCTTCACTATCTGCTGTTCTTAGTCATGTGTTACCTCCTGAAATGGTTAAATGTTGACCAGCTCTTTCTGGTACAATGACTCTGTGTATTCCTTCTATCTTCTTTTGATGTTTCTTGTGTCTTTTAATTTTTTGCCCATAGAATCTTTCAATATTGCAACTTTAGTTGATGTAATACAGAATATGAAAAATGCTTATAAAGTAGACAAATCTCTGGCAAGACTAACCAAATGAAAGGAGAGAAAGAGAGGGAGAGAGAAAAGAAAGATAAACAGCATTAGAAAAGAAAGAGGAGTCATATCTACAAATAGAAAATAGGTGAATCCGTTAATTTTACATGGGCATGAATAGCAGGTTTTAATAATTATTTGGGTGAAGATGAGAAGATATTTGGAAGGTTCTGAATAGAAAGATGTTTTGGTTCTCCAGTGCCACTCTAGCAGAAAATATCACATAAGGGTGATTTGAACAAACAGAGATTTATTCTCTCTCTCTCTTTTTTCCTTCTAATTATTCATTCTGGTTCTACTGTCTCAGGCTACAGGATTTATTCTCTTACAGTTTAGGAGGTGAGAAGTCCGAGTTCAAAGTGCCAGCTCTAGAGGCTTGGTGAAGGCCCCTCAACCTTGGGCTGTAGCTCTCTTGCTTTTGGCTCATCCAAGGTTGACAAAATGGCACAGTCCCAAGATATCAAGCAACATGACAGGCCACTGGTTCAAGTCCAGGAGCAATTCTAAAATAGGCAGACAATGTGGCAGGCTGCTGACTAAGGACTTTGCTACGTCCAAAGTCCAACTGTGCCAAAAAAACTCAGAGACCTTTCTCATGCTTCTTCTTATATGCTGGAATCAGACCACATCCTTAAGGTATTTACTCAGCTGCTCACTGCAGATTCCACCATGGAGATGATTACCAGTCTCCTGGGGGAATAACTTCAACCAGCCATCCAGCCACTCAAAACAAAGCCTAGCCAAGCTGACACAAAACCTTAACTACCGCAAAGGTTGATATAGTTATCCATGTTTTAAGAAAATAAAACCAGCAGCATTATACTTGGATGAAATGAAGAAGAAATGAAATAGTCGAAATAGTTAATATGAGAGCCAATTAGAGACTGAATGGCTTTCATTCCAGAAGATTTCAAGTGAAGGTATGAGTCCAATATACTTCTAATGTTTTAAATCTATACAAATATTTCTTCTATTGGAAAAAAAAAATTAGGAGAAATACTTTGCTTTACAGTGTTGTTTGTTGTTATTTGCCGTCGAGTCAGATCTGACTCATCGCGATTCCTCCTTGGGTTGCTGAGGCAGTGTCACTGCAGAAGTAGCTTGCCCAACCTTCCTTCCGAGGAGTGGCTGGTGGATTTGAACTGCCAGCCTTCTGGTTAGCAGTCAAGTGCCTTAGGCACTACGCTACCAGAGCTCCTTACATTGCTTTGCATAGGACAAGTTTAATTTATATAAGTTAAACTTGTCCATCACATAGACAATTTGGCCAGAAAATAGTTGGTAATACAGTGCATGGTACTTGGAATCAATTTTAAAAGGCTGTTTGGATTTGGGGGTCATCTGCATAGGGGAGAAAATGGAAGCAGTAAGAACTGTTGCTATGATGTCTACAGAGGAAGCAGAAGTACTCCCCAGATAGACTCGCCTTTCAAATTCAGAAATAGCCTTACATAGTTTTGAGGTCCCTGGATGGCACAAATGATTTGTCCTCAACTACTAACCTAAAAGTTGGTGGTTTGATCCCACCCAGCGGAGCCACAGAAGGAAATCTGATGGTCTGCTTCTGTCAGCCAAGAAAACCCTATTGAGCAGCTCTATTCTGTATCACAGGGGATCTCCATAAGTTGGAGACTCTGATGGCAATGATTTTTTGTTTTGTTCTATTTGCTACCCAGTTTTAATCTAGGAAATCCTCCTTTTTCATTCTCTTAAATAGCCATACTATTTTTCTATACTAGATATAGAAGGATATTAATTAATGTGGTACCTAATCCATAATAATGGCTTAACGTGGTTTTTAAGAAATTAAATCCAAATCAATGTCTCCAATATGAAGAAAAAAGCACACTAAAATTATTTGGTTAACTTTTGGCTTTTATTTTTATCAAAGCTATGTTCAGTAATATCTACTTGAATTATGAAACAATAATAATGATGTAAAGGGCACAGGAGTCCTGGTGGAGCAGTGGTTAAGCACTTGGCTGCTAATGGAAAGGTTGGCAGTTTGAACCCACCAGCCATTCCATGGGAGAAAGATGTAGCAGTCTGCTTCTGCAAGGTCTTAGAAACCCTATGGGGCACTTCTACTTGTCCTGTAGGGTCACTATAAGTCAGAATCAAGTCAATGGCTATGGGTTTTGGTTTTATTTAAAGGGCTTTCTAGGATGAGACCCTTTCCTTAAGATGAGAAGACACTGTTGAAAATATTTCTTTTTCTTCTATTAACAGGAAAACATAAAATAATAAATCCCAATTATTTCTTTCACATATTATAGGAAAACTGATCATGTGCAATGTTACATAATAATAATGCTGTGTGTTCCTAAATATTTATGCATCTACACTTGTACACATATGGCTACCATTGTTGTTGTTGCCGTCAAGTCGGACCCGACTCATAGCGACCCCTCCTTGGGTTTCCGAGGCAGTTTCACTACAGAAGTAGAATGCCCCATCTTCCTTCCGAGGAGTAGCTGGTGGGTTTGAACCCCCAGCCTTCTGATTAGCAGTCAAGTGCCTTAGGCACTAGGCTACTAGAGCTCCCAATGGCTACCATACTCTGTCTTTATTAGTGCCACTTTTAATAACCTCTTAAATAAAATTTGTATTTAAAAATGGGAACATTTATACTCATCCTGATACATCCAAAGACTAATTTTTAGCTTAAGATCTTACATCTGTTTAATGATAAATATGTTTCAGTGTTTCTCAGTTTCCTAATCTGTAAAATGAAAGGATCTGGAATGGATCATTTATT